TACACTACAGCTATAAAATGTCTTAAGGGTCGGTATGAGAGAAAGAGATTGATCACTGAAGTCCACGTCAGATCGCTATTAGAGTTACCTAAATTGGCAGGTTCATCAGCCAGTGACTTGCGTGGATTCATAGCTAACATTACAAAGCATACCGAAGCGTTAAGATCCCTAAAAAGACCAGTGGATCAGTAGGATGATTTTCTAATTGGTATAGCAAGGAGTAAATTGGATCTTAGAACCTTAGAACATTGGGACCTATCAATCGGTGTAACAGAAGAAGTCAATTTCAACAAATTGACCGAATTTCTAGAGAGAAGGGCTAGCTCATTGGAGTCCTTTGAAGGAAAAAATTCTAACATATACAATAAGAGTAAGGGTTATAGAACTAACGAAAAAAGTGCATCAGTGCTAAGTGTTAAGGAAGCCGGACAGTCTGCTGTTTATGTTCACAACCGCACATGCTGTTTTTTTTGTCACAAATTCATAGCGATGCAATTGACAGAAAGTTATAACATAGTAAAAACGCACAAATTATGTTTTAACTGCCTTTCTCCGGCACACAGTTCTTCAAACTGTACTCAGAGTAGAAACTGCAAGTACAAGCACAACACGCTGCTACATAGTCTTCTTTATCAGAAAAAGGCAGATCCCTTGGGTACCAACAAGTCAAGAACAGCCGAGCATGATCACTCAAAGTCCCCTTCGATTCAAGGTAGTCTTGAAGTTAATGATGCTAAAGCTGCAACCGAACCGCCAGCTACGGTAAATCTAGCAGCGCTACACAGTCATTCAAACGCCGAACAAGTTTTATTATCAACCGCCATAGTATTTGTGCTAGATAGAAAGCACGAAAAAACCTTGCCGTGCGATTGTAGACAACGGCTCTCAAATAAATATTATAACCAAATCGCTAGTCAAAAGGTTAAGAGTGAAAGGTGTGCAAAGTAAGTCACCTATAAATGGTGTTAATGGGGCCATTACTATAACTTCTGAAGAAGCCGAAATAATAATTTTCAGTCAGAATTCTCAGTTCTCTGTGAAGATTGGATGTCATACACTCCATGAAATTACAAATGCGYTACCAAGTCAATCAATAGAATTTTCATCTTGGTCAATTATTATTATCTCTCCACGTTAATTTTATGGATAAAAAAGTTATTATTAAAAGATTGCATATTTTAAAAATAACTTGGATAAGACAGAAACGAAAATTGGAAAGAGTTATTTTTTAAAGGGACTGGATTCAGAGTGAGTTTTTATGTTAAGACATGAACGGGGGATGGAATGAGATTCTTTTAAAAGAAAACTTTTCCAATATTGGTCATTCGTACTTGAATCAATATTAAAATATTGAAAAGGCATAACAACATTTTTTAGCTAGAAAATTTTTGAATGTGTTTTGACGACTCGATAACTCAAAACTCAATACTCGTCAGATGGACTGTCAACGTTTCTAAAAAACCATTACACTGTGAAACATGATGATATGTCTAATAGACAATATTGAAAATATTTTTCGACAGGTTAATGAGGGATCTTTAATGTAATAACCATAATTATCCTGATGTTGAGTACAATGTTGATTCAAGTTTTTAATTGAAATCAGGATCTTTTAAGTGAATTATGATAGCTATTGATGACCTTAACATCGCTATTATGCACCAAATCAAATTCTCAACCTAAATTCGGTAAATATAATAATTATTATGTAAAAAAATAAATACATTTTATACAGATCGAAATTTAATTATTCATGTCCGGATAAACTCGCTTTTGACGAGAAATACATTTCGTCCAAGACGTGTCCCGCTACAAGTTATTGTCACTGTAATTACATTAATTATTGTTTCGTGAACTAAAATGAACAGAAAGTGGACCGGATGTGGTTCAACGTCGGACAAACTGCAGCGTCTTCGTCGCTTGCAATCACTTCGCGATGGTCACAGCAGAGGCAACGAATGGTGGACGTTTAACTACAGACAATTATTATTATTATTATTATATCCGGTAAACCATTTAGGACGCCATTGGTGGGATCATAATATTATAATGTACCAGTTCGATTTTATAATTTAGGATGGCGTTTGTTCGTGCCATTTCAATAATGCTATAGCTGTCTAGCTTACTAAGCGCAGGTATTATTATTGTGGCTCGAACTTTTACCACAGCCCGCCGTGCACCGAATGTTTTGCTTTGAAGTAATCGTTGTCCCAACGGGAACTTTACAACTCGAGTTCATTTGGTTCGTGTTAAGTTGGGTGACTGAAGTAATAAGTTATATCACGCACAACGTGAACACACTCATAGCCGCATTGGACACGATTGCCATCGATGCGTAATAATTAAATAAGTAATCCACCCAAACTTTTTTTTCTCGAGCACACAATATAATCGACGTTTCTACGTGAGTTTGATGTATTAAAGTTTTGACATCATGCCGTACGCTCATGTCATCATGTCAGCAGTATAACGTTAATGTACCTATCAAGTATTAATCTTGTGTATAGGAATTATCGTTAAGTTTGGGCGTGTGTCCTATATTATTATAGTCTATAGGTTATGATACGGTTGCAACTTGCAATAATATAATATTGCAGTATTACAATTTATTTTTCGGATAAATTTATTTATTTTTTTTTGTTTCATAATCAAGTAATGATTGTGTATTGTTTTCTTTAAAAATGTAAACCTTCTATTTGTATAATATAATATGTCTAATATTTTAAGGTATATATCTTATAATTAGTCTTTAAATTAAAACAATAAAAAAACGATATTTCATATTATATTTCGTTTCCTATGAATTGATCGGTTCATTTGATGGTAATAGATGAAATTTAAAAACGTATTAATAATTGTACACGATGTATCTGAACTGCAGTTCACAGCTCGATTTGGATTAAATGATTTTTTTTTATTCAATCTGTTTCAAAAAAGAACAACTGAGGTAATAGATGGTTGTAAAAATAATATAAATAGATATAATCAGAGCGTAGAAACCTCCCAGTGGAAGTACTTCAATAATAATTTTAAAAAAACATCAATATTAAGATTTAATTAGTCTGTCAGTAAATTTCTACACCACTTGCAATTTAGCTATTTGGGAGTCAGGGATAGTCAAGGAAGAGATATCATTCATGAGTGGTATAAGTGAAATTTGAATAAATTATTTAGTGTAAAAAAATGCAATTGTAATAACGTGTTGCATAATAATAAACTATAATATTTTGTGTGTTAATCTAATTTAAATATTTATACATGGTTTTTATTTTATTTTTTGTTACACCTAAATGTGTTATAAGATTATGTTTTACTTAATTTATGTTTATTAGACAGTGTCTTGCAGGAACCAATATCATCTGGTAAACTCAGTTCGTTTTGTTTAMGGATACTAGTGTTTTACAATAATATTAATTCAACTTAGAATTAGTACATTAAGTAAGACAATGTAATCCTCAGTCTCTATTATTTTAAGAGGTTTTGCACAGATAGACATTGTATGAATCTATACAATTATCTCAAGTTTCTTGCTAATAAATTGAAATCTTTGTCCAGTTTTGAATAAGTGATATTCTGTAGTATGAAATCACTTACAATTCTCAAATACTTGAAATAGTATAAGATTTAAATTAATGACGATAATATGTTATAATATGATTTAGTTACCAYCATACAATTTACTGCTAGAAAATATTTACGAGATTTATCTACGTAACTATAGTGGCTATATTTTATGATTTCAAGTTGTACGAAAGACAATTTAAATACCCACGCATACTTATAAGTTATAATACTTGTATTGATTCATTATATTGTGTCGTATAGTTATCATAATCGTTATGGACATTTATTCATACAATTAAGTATTATTTTTGAAAATATAATAATATGATGCTTTGATTTTTAAAATGTAATGCCCAGAGAAAATCATTGATTAATATGTTATGTATTTCAGTATTTGACATTTTAATGAATAAGCTGTGTATATATAATATAATATTATATAAATTGATTAGCTATGAATTGTATTTGCAATRTTATCAGTGATTTATAGATCGATGAAATGTCGAACAATGCAATATGATTTTTTAAATGGTATGATAGATCTCTTTAAATTAAATTAATGTAGACACATTTATTTTGAATCCAGAAATTAAATAATTTTATCAGTTCTCATCAGAACCTTTATATAATAAATGCAATGTACCTCTGGAGTATTTAATTATTATTATCGTTAAAAGGCATTCCATAAACATATTATTACGATATGAGAAATTAAAAACGAATTATTGTTAATAATAAATTATTAATTGTACATTATTATGTAAAACAGAGTTTTTTATACTTCCACTTCACGTTTTTCTTTTTAAAATTTTGTATTCATGAAATTGGTTAGTTTTGAAMTTTCAATTTCATGTTTAAGAAGTAAAATCATTATTAGTTTTATTTTATCGGATATATGGGGAGTTTGAGTTATTATTTAAATACAATTTTAATAGTTTTCCAAAGCCATTCATACAATACTTGTATTTTCAAGTATTTTTGAATGAAAACGTGAATTGTGTTTTGCATTTTTGACAAATGTTTGATTTCCAGATTCTGCATTATTTTTGAACAGATTTTTAGGAGTTTTATAGCATTCAACACTATAATTTAAATTTAATATTATCACGTGATATCAAACAATTAAAAAATTAATAAAAAATAATATTTTATATTATATTTTTATTATTTTTTTTTTATTAAATTACGAATACCTGTATAGAAATGATTTTTATTTCAAAGTAAAAGAACAATAATTCATGTATGCAAATTATGTAACAGTTTTGTAAAACTTTTTAATAAATAATTTATAAATATTTAAAAAAAATAAAAATATGGTGGTGCATTGTATGTACATAATTTTGAATTGTTGGGGAATATTTGAAGGCGTTTAATGTATTATATTTCTAGTACAACCATTGTTTAATTTCATATCAATAACAACATTTTTTTTCCAGGTATCGTGGGTTCGTCGTCGAGATTGGCATATACTAAGCTCTGGTGTTTTTATGTATACAAATGATGACAGATTTCATGTAATGCATGCAGACAACGCAGATAATTGGGATTTACAGATCAAATATGTACAAAAGAGAGATGCTGGTTCATATGAATGTCAAGTATAATAATTTTCATATACATAAATTATTTATAATAATAATATTAATATTATTAAGAAAACTGTACACTGGAATTAAGATATATAAACATGAGACATGTTTTATTATCTTAAACAATAAATAAATATTACTATATCATTTAAGAAAAAAATTCAATGAAATACATACAATTTTTTCACGATGATTTCAAAAAACAATGAATCGACAATTTGTGGAGATTTAAGTTTTAAATTTATTAATTTTTACTCTTCTGTATTCAACTATCAATAATTATTGACAGTTAATCAAATACAATAATTTGCATGGCAGCAAATGTGAATTTAAATGATGTTTAAATTGTTTTGAGACAATATTTAAAAAAATCTTTATKTTATTCCCTCAAAAATATTATTTTCTATTTTTTTTTGTAGAGGGKGATTTTACTCTAAGATAACTTATAAACATACAAAAAATGATTCTGCGTTAATGTGTTTTGTTTATGTAGAGCATGAGCTAGAGAGAGTGAACAATGATATCCTCTTATTTTATAGTAGTTATACACTATAAAAACTAAACACACATAACTTTTTTTAAGAGTGTGGCAGTGCGGTCAATTGTCTACCCAGTAACATCCAAAACCTGCAGGATATTAATTTTAGAGTTGACTAGATACAACTATGCCAGACATTTTTAAAATACTAAGCACTTAAAGTTAAAGTTAATGCACTCATGAGGTGGCAACAACGTTATTAATTTCATAAATATTTAACGACCTACCTACCAACAAAATAACTTAAAACGTTGTAAAATCATGTATCTAATAAGCAATATCTAAAAAAAAAAATGAGAATATATTTATTTTAGTTTACGGGGTTCTATGTATTAAAATTTAATGACTTATGGATTGAAATTACAATTGTTATAAATTATTAGGTAACTTCAACTTAATTCGCCAAATGTTAAGATTTTAGGAATTTCATTAACATATTTTTACGTCAATTCTATATTAAAAATAAATAAATGTGATCTTTTGAATTTCCAAATCACTATAAATGCAATTTTTGAGGAATCTTGTACAGTTGTATACCTATTTCATTATCAGGATTCTTGACATGAATAAATGCATTTTTTCATAGTAATTAAATCGAAACAAATTAAAATTGTATACAATTCCAATGTTCATAAAAGCTAGACTATTTTTATTAGTACTGATAATTTTACCGAAAATGTACCAAATATATCTAATTTACTACTAGAAATTATCCTTAAAATTAAATATTGAAGCTTTTTTCCGCTAAAAAACTTAATAAAAAACGATCCTCATAAAACTTATGCACTCCATCCAGAATTTGATAGTGTCGTTTACCAAATGTTTTTTAAAATTAAAATAGTCTTTTTTAATTATAAAACGTTTAAAATCATTTTGTTCGCAGATAATAGTTACATAATATCATAATATGATCGTATGATATTTTTACCTTAATTTTAAATTATCAATGATCATGATTTTTAAAAATTGGAAAAAATTAGATTATTAATTACAATAGTCTGGAATCTATAGACAATAATGATTTATATTTGATACTAGGATTTAGATAAATTAAAGTTTTATCTTCGTGTAGTTATATCTATATATATATACAGCACATACGTACTTACAAAAATTGCACAACACCAAATGTTGATATTACTTTGATGTTTGTTTGCTTCAGAAGGATCTTTCGATATACATTTTGAGTACTTTACTATCCTGAATCTAAATGCTGTAAACTTTGTTTGGCAGACTAATTATTTAAATTTACCACGAGTATCTGATCTAAGATCAGTAAATCACTTTAAACAAGCGAAATCATTATGAAATACTACTTATTGTGTAAACAAACACTGATTTTCACAAGTTTGAAACAATTTTCAAAGTTAAAGTGTTACTTAAGTGTGGAAGATTTGAATAGTTAATATAATACATTAGTTTATATTGCTTTAATGATCGATATATGTTTAATACATACATATATCTAACCTAGTGACTTATTATATTTTATTAGTTATAAATTACATAAATAATTTTATGATTTTATTTTATTTTTTGCTTATTGGAGTTGAGGCATCGACAGCAAGAGTCATATCCTGTGCAACTTTGGGGGAGTGAACTGTTGGTTGAACACGTGGATGTTTGGCAGAATTTTGAATTGGCACCCGTAGGTTTCTGCAATGCCTGGGTGAGGGGTGGCAGCCTCTCTTTCCAGATAGCGTGAACTGCCCGGAAAGCGATGCCACCCATGACCGAGATTCGAACCGGCGACGGTACACGTCGCAACCCACTCCTTATTAATCCACCAGGCCACTACACCTCCCTTTATGATTTTATTCCGTCAATAAAATGACAATATAATAATATATGGTATTATTCTTTGGATAATTTCAATTGCGAGGTTGTACATTTGAGATGAATTTTGATAACAAAATAATGGATAAATATGTCATCCTTCTTAATTTTTATCCGTTAAGATAAAGAAACTGATAGATACATTAAGATGATGGAAGGATAATGGTTTAAATTTTATTTGAGCTAATAGCAGATTTGACGTTTTGAGATATTATTCTATAAAATATTCATAATATATTAGCTCTTATTGCTCTTATTAATATAATGTCATAATATAACATAATATAAATAATATGTATATATATATATCATTTCCAAAAATATTAACGATGTTTTAAAAGATTTACCTTATAATTTATTTAAATTAAAATATTTGATAAGTTTAAAGGTAGAAATTGTTATTGGATTTTGTTTTAATATGAATAAATTATAAGTTATAAATAATAGTAGTATCTTTATAAGTAATGATTTATTAAAATACATTTTAGCCTGATAAATGGATTTTATAAGTATCAATGTACCTATAATTAAATAATGTGTTTACTTTTAAGTATCAAAAAACCAAAAACTATATTTTAAAAATAACCACAAATCATAGATTTTACATCATCCGAGAAATAATTTTGACTAACAACTTGAATCCTGTTAGAGAGGCATAATATAAAGCGTTTTAATGATATTCTTCGTCCTCCTGAATATTCTCGCTTGCATAATATAGGTACTCTCTACAATTGACTAGTAAGCTTATCAAATATTCATAAATCAATTTAACAGTTGAATAGGTTATATTGTACATAGACATATAGCCATTGGCATAGTAAAGAGTGTGAAATGGTGGGATGGAGATTAAGTTTAAATTAAACTATGTTTTAACAGTTTTAGTATAGAATAATAAATACAATATATTTATTGGGTGAAAAAATTTCGATTAAAAACCAAAACCACGCAGGATACGTCCAGTGTATTGCTATATACCTACCTTGATATGATTTTTAGCAATTAATTCATACGGTCACACCTAAATTTTTATAAGAGCGTAAAATAATTCTGTATCTTGTTATTTTTTTTTAAATAATTTATTATACAGTTTAGTTTAGTATATTTTCTATACATATTTTTAAATATTATAGTATGATGAATTTGTGTTTTAAGGTGGCGATGGGAACGGGTATTGCTTCGCATTACTATAATTTGGATGTTATTGTACCAACGGCTCGAATTTTAGGAAGAGAAGAGTATCATATTGGCAAAGGAAGCACAATAAATCTAATTTGTGTTATTGAAAATGTAAGTTTTAGTTTATTAAATTTTATTTAGATTGTTGTAATCATCAATGAATATAAAAAGTTTCAGTGAAAAATACCACATGTTATTTCAAAATCCATATCTTTAGGTAATGGATTAAAACTAGAGTTATAATTAATTAGAGTAATAAATAATACATGTGGAGTTATTGTTGAATACTTAGATATAAAATTCACATTTTAAATAGAAACTATATATAAATATATTATATAATATCTTTTTATTAAGATTTATCTAATAAGTATATATTTGAATAGTTTTCTGATAAATTAAAATAATTTAATAAGTTTAATTTAAACTGTTTTTCAATAATTTTGATTAATCATACGTACATAATAATGGTAATATAAATAAAAATTAATAAAAAATTTTAAAATGTGAACACTAACAAAGTATACTAAAAACATTCAAAACTATACATTTATATATATATATATATATATATATCATAAGTATTATATAATATATATTTAATATTAAACATATCATGAATATAGTTTTGAAAAATTTAATTTAAMAAGAATATTTTAATATTAGTAGGTACGTTCCTTCTGTACATATTATAAAATTATTAGTTTGGTTGATTTGCATACTTCAAAAACTAAACCGTGGTTAACAGATTATATTATATTTAATAGATTAAAAAAAACCTATTTAAACTAAATAATAAACCAAATATTAATATGTTTTACAGTTAGTACTTTAGTAATAATTGTAAGTTGTTACTTTATATTCTGGTTTAGAACTTTATTTTAAAAGATACATATATTCTAAATTTATAAGCAGAAAACAACAGTTTATTTAACACATCTCACAACTTTGTGTTAAGTAAAACTTCTAGGTAACATAAAGTACCATAATATACGAATTAACACTCATCAACTTAAATAAGTAAATTTTGTGTAAATTATATTTCAAGAAATCGTAAATAACCACTTAAATAATTAAGTAAATGTAAATAATTATAAATCACTACCTTACATTGTTGGATTGGGTTAGATTTTTGCATACAATATGATACACTTACACTTAATTGTATACATGGCTCAACTATTTTAATTATTTTATTTTATTTTAAGCAGAATATTTCAAATTTGAAATATTTATAATATAATAAAATATTTATATATATATATGTATAAGAATTGTTATTTATTATATTTTTAAGCTATGTGAGAATATGTTAATCTACATGAATGGAGTATATTGTTGTAAATATATTTTACACCTTTTTCGATTGTGTTAAAAATCTACCCTACGTATAAAGGTATTATATTTTGTATTCGATACATTCACAGTTTAATTATGTATTGTAAACTTGTCAAGATTCAAGTGTTTCCATTTTAAAAACTGTAAGTAATGCAAAATGGTAAAATACATTCAAACCTTTTGCGATCTGTTCAAATTGCATTTTTGTGTAAAACAATATAAATGGAAATATTGTTGTGTTCACATAATTTTACAAATACGTAAATATATTATATTATATTTAACGGCTACGAATAATAACCAATATAAGTTTGTTTAGAGACAACCATGGGTCTGTAATAACACATAGAACCAAAAGAACATTGTAATAACCAGAATGGTTTATAACAGGTGGGGATATGAAAACATATATTTATGTATACCTATTGCAAATGACTAGCATTTAAAAATTAAAATACAATTTTTGAGTAAAAATCTAAGTTCTTCAATACGTTTTACTCAAAAATTTGATTTTAATATTTAAAGGTCTTACTCTAAGTTCATCTATACTTTAAATATAGGATTAAACAAATGAAACAACATGATATGTATATTTTYATCATTTTTGTGCTATTGATAGAACATTTTAAAAGTTACAATTTATAGATTAACATATAAATGGTGATTAAGGAAGCATGAACATTGAAATTCCCCTTATCCTTTTACGTTAATTTAGTTATTAAATATCTGTTTATTAGATTTTGAATTATACTTAAAGATATTTTTTCAAACGCTTGAGTTTTTTTTTAATGTAACTTGAGTAAGGCATTTGGAGGTACAAGTTTATAATAAACTCTAGAGCCATTAATATTACATAATATTATATATTATATTTTTGTCAAACTATTTTTAAATATTTTTATCCTATCTTTTTTTTTAATAGTTAAAAAGTTTTGAATATGTGCATCATCATTAAATAATTCACAATAAAGTAGGAAGGGGATTTTCATTTTAAAAAGATAAATTTATATTTCCACAAGGTTCTCTTTAAATAGTAAGAAAATCTGAAGAATTTGAAAATATGGGCTTGAAATTTAAATTCTAACAAAATTAAAATTAAATAAAAAATGTGAATGAGGGTGCTTAATGAAACTCCTCAATGCTTGCTAGATATTTTGTATTATTTTACTAGGATAATACTTAAGATAACGGAAAGTTTCTTCTTTATATCATATTTTACATTTTATATTTTTTTCTCAGAAATCCTTTAACCTTAAGTATACTAGAAGCTTATAACACATATTATAAGAAACAACACTATCATAACCCTAAACAAAAATAAAATAAAATAAAACTTTGTTGTATATGTCGTTAATAGAACCTACTTCACCTTAAATTAAAAATTAAATTAAAATAAGAGTACGTATACAACATAATTTTTTTTATTTTAGCTGTAGCACTTTAAAATTGGTTAAGGTAATTAGTTGTTAATTATAAATTGTTTCATGTCTTTAATATTGTGAAAGCGGTTATATTATGGGTGTACAGGGGTGGATAGGCCCATAGGGAAAAAGGTATTTTCCCTGTAGGCCCCCGGTCTATATTTATATCGGGGCCCACTCGGGTCTAAACATTTTTTTTTCGTATAACATAATATTCACCAAATAGAAATAATTTAAATTTATAACTATAAATAATATATATAATTT